TGAAAGGACTCGGATTCGAACTCATCCGAATCAATTAAGATTTCTTCATGCTGAAAGTCAAGGTTATTATTTGAGTCGGGAGATTCTGAATGGAAAAAGGTTTGGTCCCTGGTGTCATCTTCACCGAAGATATCGTGCATAAAGTCGTCCATGAAGTAGCCGTCCAGGCAACAAGACCAAGTTGCGCTATGTCGTGGATCAAAGTGTGGGAGTTTCGGCATATTTGGGTGATGGCCATCCTCACATTGAGGGCGCAAACGTTGGTGTCTAAGTGCCACTTGAACACCAATAGGAGACATTAATTTAGAGTTACACGCATGGTATAGTTACAAAGACGTTCCCCCGATTAATATTCTGTGAATGCTTATTGTTGACCTTCATCTCTGTCAACTGCATAAAGTATTTTCGTCCAGCAGTTAGCCAAAAAAAGTTCATATCCGACATGCCCATAATTGCTGCTGTGCTTCCTATATTGGGTGCTGGTGCATGCATCATGGTCTCGGTTTCGTAGCCGGGCGGTGTGCTCTTTTTTGGGCGTGGACCCGGTGCAAATGCAGTGGCGATCTCAACAGGTTGCTTAATAAGAGGTGTTAACTTTTCGGGGTCAAAGCGGACGGCATCAAATGAGAGTAAGACAACGGAGTACTGCGGGGAGTTAGCGTCAGCGACAGCGAAGAGTTAATGGTAGAGAATCAGGGGAAACTAGCCTTGATCTGGAACCATCCCAGCATAGTCGTAGGTTTTAGATTGCTGCTCCAATGCAATTCTCCCATCAAACCCACGCGATGTGTCGACTCTTGTGGCTCACCAGGCTCAACATCGGGCTTCCACCAAACAGCCAGTTGTGAATTCATGATGGAATCTCGCATCACTGGTGACTGCAGATTGTCAACGTCTTTGAGCTTCAGGCTCTCCTAAGCCTGGCAGTGACTCACTATTTCCTAGACACTTCAACCTCGTTCGAATTAGAGCAGTTAAATATCGAAACCTGGATCTGGCCTTAATACATCTCGTTTCCTATAGGTTATCAAGTAGCTTTTGAATTGAAGATTCTTAAATTAGAGTTCCTGAACCAACCGACACTCACGATCGAGTGTGATGCCAGGTGATATCACAACAGCCTATCGACTCGTAGTGACGCCGGAAGGTAAGGTCGAGCTAGCTCGAGTTCATTTGATTTGGAACTCAGACAAGCTCGAGGTGACATCAGCTCGAGCTCAACTTGACAGCCTCGAGCTCATGTTTCCTGAATAGGCAAACACTTTCAATGTGCCGAGCATCCGCTTTTTCGACCGCTTTGGAAGACAGCAAAATAGCAATAGAAAAAATTATAGTGGGAACGAGTTTAATGGCTTATTTAATGCATTTCAGAGCTTTGTGATTAATAACAAATAGTTTAAACCACTTCTCAATGGAGAGGAAATTTTTATAAAAGAAAAGCCAAACGCGAATCGAACCTTAGACCTAAAAAACAAGTCTTGCATGCCTATCCATTCTGACCATTGCACTAGCTGGCATTATTGACGGGTCTCCCACAAGCGCCATACCTCTAGCAAATGCCGGTTACCTTGGGAATTCAACCTAAGCCGCTGTCATTGTTGATGGCAGCTGTGATGTGGCTGTCCGAGGTACCTCGAAGTCGAGTTCGACTCGAGGTGCTCAATTAGGAAACGAGGTCTGCTCGACTTGCCTTGGTGTCAAGTTCACCTCACCTTCCGGCGTCACTACTATCGAGCCTCAATTCTCAAGCTGCCATCAAAATGTGAGCAATTTAAACACACTGCAAAATTTAAAATCGAGCGTGAGCTTGTATAATCTGAAGTCCTTAGTGCGCAGAACTCAGCAATATGATTTCAGTTCTTGTATTTCGTCCAAGTTGAAATACCGAGAGTCAGTGTCGTGGTGAGAATTTAGAAAGCTGCATGAGTAAATATTTGACACGACGTACGTCTTCTGACACCTTGTTCTGATGACTGTACATATACGGTATCACCCCTGTTCCCTCTGCAGCTCGTCATTTCCTTTACATGTTGTATAACGCCTGCCACTACTTCTTTATCAACTGACAGCCTCGAATTCTGGAACATATCCAACCAGAGGTCTCTGTCTCTGAGTACGCCAGCGTTTGTTACCCTTTGGTAGATTTGTTGCATCTGGAAAACTCCGTCAACTCACTTGAAAATGATGCCATGGGTCACGGTGACATATAGCTAATCAGTTGATCCGAGAAGGTTTAGAGTTATTGCTGAGTGCTCAGGCAACAAGCGAGGGCTATATAATAATATTTAGCTCAGTTATAGAGAATGGTTTCTTGTGTGGCTACACGCAAGTTGCTTGAGACCGGCGCGGATTTGTACGGAAAGATCGCCTCACGAATCTTCAAGGCGTTGCCGGCCCTGGATTTGGATGGGCGCGATGAAATGTTTGAACCTTGACTTCCAACGTCACTGCTCTCCGTGCTATTTTTTTTTCTAGCTATACCTAGACAAGCCAAGATTCGTTAATGCCTACTCTGACTACCTCTATTGAGGATACATCACCGGTCATCGTTTATTCTCAAAGTAATGGCTACCAGAGCTGGCGAGCGGGGTCTTCTAAAACAGACGCAAGCCTTGATTCGTGAGTGGCTGCAAATTTATAGATATAGATGGGATACTTACTTTACGGACTGATCAGATACTCAAGTGGCTCCTATATGGTGACCAATGCCAGCCAGGCGTCTGTGTCCTTCTCGTTTTACGGTACTGGCGTGCAGCTTTTTGGCTCTAAACGACAAGGTCACGGCTTCTATCAGATCAGTATTGACTCGCTAGTGTATCCTCAAGTCAACGGTGGTGTAAACGACACTCAAGGCCAGTTCAATGTCCAACTCTTCTCGACGGTTGCACTCGCGGCTGGTTACCACACAGTGAAAATGACGAACTTGGGGACCGGCGATTTGGACCTGGACTATGTAGGTCTTCCCCATCCATTATGAAATGAGATTGAAAGGGTGTGCGGCATGTTCAGCCGCCCAAGCTGTGGCTGGTACACAGGTTACGCGGTCATTCAATTTCTACACGCCGCGTGAACGTGCTACCGCATGGCGAAACTTGCGCTTACCATTCTCATTATAGTTAACTTGGCAAACGCCAATTGGCGAAGTTGAAGACACCCTCAGGACTATCACGCTCCAAGATACTGACCCGGCGTTTACATACAACCCTTCCGCTAATTGGTTCAATACTCCCGCAAATCTAGGATTCTTCTCTGGTGGGACTGGGCAGTACGCTAGTATCACCCCGTCTATGTGTTTGTCATAATTAGCTCTTTATAGTGCGACGTCGATAGCAGGCTCATGGCTGGAGCTAAAATTTACGGTATGTTGCAGAATATCTCACTCCTTCAAACTAACTAAAGTGACTAATACTCATAGGGTTCGACTTTCTGATCATTTCCATGTCTATTCCATAGCTAACTGTTCCTCAGGAGACGCTATAGCGCTCTATGGTCCCCTGACTCCCAACGGTCCAGCGTATACTGTATCCTTGGATGGCCAAGCATCGGGAAACTATTCTTCGGCATCGCAGGCGATTTATCGGCCACAACAGTTACTTTACCAGGCAGGGAATCTGCAAGGGAAAGAACACACCCTCAAGGTTCAGACGGAAGATAATACCTCTGGGTCTCAGTTTGTTGTCGACTACGCCCTTGTCTACTCCACCTCGACAGCGAAATCAACGTACTGTCTTATCTTCTTCTTTTATTTCGTTGTTGACCAAATCGCAGTGGCCCATCATTATCGACTGGAGCAATAATTGGCGCTGCTCTTGGTAGCTTCTTCTTGCTCGTTATCATCATCGTCGCCTTGTTCTTTGGTTTCCGCTGTTGGTCAAGATATCGGAAATATGGCAAAATCGCCGTGCAACAGCCTCGGTCGGATTCAGAACCCAGGCATACATTGCAGCCTTACCAGCAGGGACCTACCACCTATGCAGACTCGAGTAACTCACACTCTCGTTTGATACCATCTACTTCTTATGTTTCTATGAGAAGCGACCAGCAACAGAGCACATCGAGTTCAACCAATATCACGCCGCCTTCGACTGCCGCGCCTTGGTCTCCTCCACCTGGAACACGAGTGATATATTCAACGATATCGGACCCGTTTGTTGCGGGACCTAATGTATGAATTTTCGTGACTGACATACGTTCTCAGAAGGCTGACGACTTGCAGGCTCAGGTGGTCACTGTTCCCTTTACACCTGGAGACAAATATCGACCTGACTTGTCCTCACCAACTCTCGATCCCGCTCCTCAGCAGGCTCGCTCTTCTATTTTGGCGGCAGGACCTTCACATTATATAGGCAGTCCCAATTATTCAGAAGGGGTTTCGGCTGAGGGCCAACCTTCTCCAAACGCTCCATTGCATCCGTTAAGGCCTGGTGAAGTAACAACTGGCACTTGGACACCCCCAGCATATCAGAGTGGGAATCCCTTTTGAAATTAGAGGTATTGAGGGGATTCAACATAGTAAGACTATAGCTGTATCAAGAGTGTAAGCATGTACGCATAATGATATCACAAATACCTTCTCGTTTTGGCATCGTACTGCCTGTCACCACGTCGTTTCTTCCTGTTCCTTTGGTTGAGATCGCTTCGGGATCAAAATGTGATTGGCTATCTTTTACTGGTACAAAAGGTAGTACCTGAATGCAATCTGAATAAGCCTTAACGGTTCTGATGATCAAAGTCACTGGTGAGGTCCAAAAATAGACTTGACCATTTGAACGACCCACATTCGAACTCACTGGCCTCAGCTCTCTTATTCTGTTTATCAACGATGATGCAATCGATTTCAGAGTGTCACTTTTCTTAAATCGTGCCAAAAAAACACGCTGTAGCTCGACTTTACCATCAATAAATGCCTTCCCACCCGGTTTATCGCCCCTGTCCCCTTGTTCTCCCTTGATCCGACAAAAAGTTACCTCCTTTTACCTTTCTTTCTTCATTCTAAGCACAGCAGCATGGCGCAGAGGTAGCGCGCAGGGCCCATAGATGCTGGGATTGCAGTAAACTGCGGATTACCGCTGCGCTAAGGCCACCCTGAGGTCACTCGATCGAAACGAGTTGCTGCTAGATTGTCTTTTTTACAACTTTCGGCAGTGGAATTGTGAGTCCAAGCGGTTGTACTTTTGTAATCAATTACTCCGTTGACCGCGTGAGTCAGAAATTATGTTTTAGAACTTGCGTTGACTCGTAGTGTTCAGCTGTTTTCCATCAGGCACTCCTCATGATTGGTTTTCAGATTCCATATAAATCATCTTGTTTGGAGAAGTGATTGCGCTTGAGGGGTTCAAATTGGACAAACATCTTGATCACGCATCCGCTTCTTTTTGTTAATCTCTGAGGTTGCTCATATAAAACTTTTGCATATATACTCTGGACGGCATGCAACTTTTGATGGCGTGTACTCGTGTCATGGTCGCAACATACCCACTCACATGATAGTGTTGAAGCTCGAGATGAGTCAGTGATGCTAGAGCTGTTCAGTTGGATGATATTGGGGTAATTTCTACAATTTACATCTCACTTTTGCGCCATGTCGTGCGCATAACGCTTTGGCAACAGCAGTATAGTGTCGGAGGAGTGATCGATCAACTGATTTTCCCGCGATTGAGATGACCTAATTTGGAAGTGGCCCTTCCATATTGGGACGAACAATGTCAAATTGACTCAGGTTTAAGAAGCACAAACTAATGTTGCCGCAAGTCTGAGTCAACTCGAGTCGAGTTCGACTTGACGTGATGGGAACCCCCAAATCGGGAACTCGACTTGACTCGACTCGAGTTTCTGCTCCCAAGTGAGAGGAGGGTAGAATTTACAAGCTCCCCGTTATTTTAGATATCTGGTGCTTATCTTGTTTACCTCATTGCTGAAATATTAATGACACTAAGCTCTGTACATGTGTTTGAGGAGAGGCCTTGCGCATGATGCAAGACAAGTAAATACTTGAGAAAATTATGTATAATAGCCCGAAGGACAAGGATATAAATATCTAAATTGCACCTCCCTTTAATATTAAATTGGATGTGAGTCTGACTCTGACTGAGCACTTGAAATTTCAGCGTTAAGTATTGTGCTCAAAATTCTTTGCTGAAGAACATGAAATGTGAAGCATTGTTCCACTGCATTAATCTGTAGACTGAGGAAGTTTGATACTTTTTTGAATGATTTACAAAACGAGAACCAAACGAGAACGATGTTTGGGCGCCTATTACCGAGACACTATTTTTAGCGTCTCAGAAATGATTTGTGCTCCAAGTTCGAAGTGGTGTTCACAAATATTTGATATTTTCA